TTACATTGGGAAATTAGGAAAATGGGGAAATTTTTTAAGTTATTAGTGAAAAAAAAAACTTTTGATCAATGGAACCCAAATACTTAGATTTGGGACAAATCACTAAATGCTATAGGTTGGTTCATAAAATATAATTTTTTTAAAATATAATAATTGAATCCTATGATGATTGGTTATGATGAATTTAGATTCCTTGATTACCTTATATCTTAGTAAACTTATTCTAATTTATTTGTTTTAATTAGAAGTTCTTCCTCTTTTATTTGTTTAAAAAATTCTAGAATATTTCAGCATTTAATCATAATCTATGTAGGAAGGATACCATGTTGAGTAGCATCACAGGTCATTCTTGTCTCCACAACAGAGAATACAACGAATCTCATGCTGTTGTGTTGTTTCTCTCTTTTTTGTTTTCAACTTCATGCCGAGCGTCGTCTCTCTTTTTTTATTTTTAACCTCATGCTGCTGTGTTGTCTATCTTTTTCCTTAAAAAAAAACAACAGTTTATTTCAGTCTCTTCTGTCCGAGGCAGGTTCCTTTTTTTGCATCCTGCTGCTGCTTATATTGTATTCTGGAGCCAGTTCTTCTAGACCATCTTTCTATCGGTGTCTGTGCAAGGTACACAAAGTCTTTGCCTTCTATCTTTTCCTTTGCTTCTGTTAATTTTTTAAGGGATTGTAAGATTCTTGTCTTTAGATTCTATATGTTTGATCTATTCAAGTTCAACCCTTGAGATTCAGTGTTCTTCATCTTATGTGATAATGTGGTGATCGTTTATATTAGTTAACAAAGCATTTGAGAGGCTTTAGAGATCACCACAAGTTGTCTCTTTCATGTGGGGTTATCTGTATGTTATCAAATTCTGAGTTGTTAGACCTGTAGATTGTCTGTTTGTTTCAAGTTCAGTTTGGGTTTGGGAGATTCAGGAATAACCTGAGATTTCTTGTGCTTAAGCTTGATCAATACAAGTTGAGTGTTTTTACCTTTGTACAATTTGGTTTTCCAGATGATCATGGATCCTAAATTCACTGAATTTTCTGATTATGTAAATGCTTTCAGACTTGAGGAGGGTAAAATCTTGATCATTTCTGATCAGCAACCTAATGTTAGAAACACAAATGGGGTCAACTCCAATGATTCCTCTACAGGCCTTAGTTTCATGGATGCCCCATTTATGGCTCAGAATATTTTCACTGACATGGAATCCGTATTGCTGTTCAAGAGAGGGTTTGAGGAAGCCAGCAAGTTCCTTCCAAGCAGTAACCAACTGATTGTTGATGTAGGGAGTAGCACATTTGCTACCAATCAAAAAGAGAGGGTTTCAAATGTGATAGTCAAGGAGGGGAAGAATGAAACGCTGCAATCACCTGAAGGTTCCATGGATAGAAAGAATCATAAAC